GATGCGAGGAGTTTAGACTATGGCTCATGTTGCCACTTTGTACGGCTTCTAGACCCTAATATACCCTAAATCCTAAACCGCTATATGACAATCCTTATAGTATCTTATAGTATAATACAGACCCCCCAAGAAGAGGGCCGCAAACCTTAGGAAAACCCCACATGTTTCGGGCAAAAAGCCCAGCAAATCTCACCGGGCTGAAGATCGGCCAAAAAAGAGCGGTTTAGGGTTTAGGATGACATTAAACTCTATACCCTAAACTCTTAACCCTAAACCTTAAACTCTAAACCCTAAACTCTAAACCCTAAACTCTAAACCCTAAACTCTAAACCCTAAACCCCTAAATCCATAAACCCCTAAACCCTCAACCCCAAACCCCTAAAGGACGAAGGTAGGCAGGGCCAGTGCCTTTGGCCCAAGAGTTGAGGTTTCAGTCCCCTAACAGCCTAAAGCCGAAACCGAAAGCGCTGAATCCCAAAGGGGTTTAGGGTTTAGGGTTTAGGGCTATAGTCCCGCTTAAGTAGATAGAATATGGTTTTGGGTACATTATCGTGAGATCCCCGTATACCCCATATTCTATCTACTTAAGGGGGACTATAAGCTGTAAAGCCTAACACCGATCCCTGAAGCCTAAACCTGATCCCTTAGTCCTGAACCTTAAACCCTAAATCCTAAAACCTAAACTCTGAAATCTAAAGCCTAGAACCTATCCCAAGAACCTCAACCTGATCCCCAAATCCTAAACCCTAAAAGCTTAAATTCTCCGCTATGAAAAGTCACCCCACCTGAATTATCTAGAGTTTAGGATCCAGGGTGTAGGGTTTAGCGTTCCGGTAGGTCTACAAAGGAAAATATCGGGGATCCCATTCCTAAACCTTGAGCCCTACATCCCAAACCCTAATCCCTTTTTCTCAGAGCGCTAAATCCCAAACTTGAAGTCTGCTAATAATTTTGATTTTTAGCTATTATACTCCTAGTAACAACCAAAAATGATAATTTTCAGTGTGCTTCTGAGGCCAATTAAGTCTGTAGATCTACAAAGGGGAAAGAAGATGGGGGAAAGTATTTTCCATGATTGCCAGCTTGGGGGCAAGAGCATTTGATCAAGCATCATGTCCGGTATATGTAATCATGGGTTTCCCTACTACCCCCCCCTCTACTACGACCACCCCCCAGGGTTCCTCCTTAATTAACCTTAAAAAGGCCGAAAAATCCAGGGCGGGAACCTGGGGGGGTAGTATAGAGTGGGTAGTAGCGGAACCCATGAATGTAGGGGGGAGTGGCTGAACCTGCTCTCAAATCGCCTCTCCGGGCTCATGGGAAAGTTTCTCAGGAGGTGCTTTTCGATGCAAAGCGGACCAAAAATCAATCCAATGGAAAAGCTGCTTAAGAGTTCCTGAAAAACAGCAAAACTTATCCTTGGTGATATTTCCTGCCTCGGATCTTGCCAAACAAACAAGTACATGACTTTTGTCCAGGGTTCCAGGAAGTGTGGCATTGCAGCCAGCACTATGGCACCAGAGACGTCGCCAGAAGCTACGTACTCGGAAAGAAGGGGGGGTTAACGCATGCTGCAATTGCTCACCCTTTACCCTGGACCCTCTGGCAAGCCGTATTTTGGGCTTGGATTTTGGGATCGCACTTCCTATGCACCTTTTTTCCGGCCTGCTTCGATACAAATACATCACGGGTACGGCTTGCAAAGCTTGAGAATCCAATCCCCTAAAACCCTAAAACTTAAGCCGTAAATTCCAAATAACCCGAAGACCTAGTGCTCTGTCCTTGGCTGATGTGTCACTTGGATCCGGTTTGAGCCCAAGTCGAGCCTTATGGTGGCAAACGGAAGTCGGGGAGTGCAAAAAAATGGGGGCCACTATAGTACAACCTGAAAATGTAAACCCCAAACCTTAAACCCTATCCCTAAGCCCTACGGTATTTAAGGTGTAGGCTTTGAGGTTTAAGGTCTCAGGCTAGCCCCGGCTTAAGAGTCAGGGAGATGCTTGGCACCCGTAGGAAAGCCAGCACCTGGCCAGCCCAAGTCCTTTCGAGATTTGAGGCGTCAGAATTTAGGTCTTGAGGCTTGGGGTTTAGGGTTCAGGCACTTAACTTTGCTCAGCTTTGGGGTAAGAAATACTTCTCCGTACTAATATTGACACTCCCCTAACATCCAAAATATGTCCCCGAAGGTGTACGGTCTTCTGTGGGGAATGCTTCAGATTAGGGATAGATCCTAGGTGGACCCCCCACCCAGTAGTAGTGACTATAAGGGATAATAGGGATTTTATTAGGGTCCTCTTATATTCTAATTATACCACTATTACAGGGTGGGGGTCCTCCTGATAGATCTTAGTATGCGGGATTAACAACTATTATTGGATAGGCATGGCCCCAAACCTGGCAGGAGTGTCAGGAATTTCCTACATTGCGGATTCCGGGTTTTCAGGTAGCATGCACTTCCTGCAGCCTTATTCGGCAAGAGTCATCAGCCCTTATCTCACGGAGAGCTCAAAGTGTATAGCACCGCTTCGCCGCTTTGCCATGGGCATCGTGGGGAATGACCCTGCAATCGCTACCCTTGGCTAGCACCTTGAAGGAAGCCCGAGAAAATCCCACTACATTCCCGAGCAAAATCTCTAGCTTGGAGCATGCGCAGACAGAACCCTAAGCCGTAAACCCTACATGAGCTATGGTCTAAACTCCTTAAAGGGGGGTTCTATAGGGGATTATATAGGGATGTACTATAGGGGTTACTAAGGGGGATACTAGGAGTTTAGACAGTAGCTCACATGGCATGAAAGACTGGACATACTTCCTGCATCCGAGGGCCTCTCTAAGCAAGGATAGCCATGGCTCGTCCTGGGGCGGAAGATGACCAGGCCTCTTAGGGTGTTGTTGGTTGGGCCTGGGGCTACTTTTTGTTGGGATGCTTAGGGTTTAGGATCTGGGGCACTGGTATGTTTATGGATGTGGGACTTGGGGGGGTGTGTAGGATGCACCGATTAAAAGAACATTAACGCCTTAGCGTCCAGAACTCGGTGTTGAAGACACGTAGGGCTTAGGACTTAGGATGTTTTCTTTGTTTTGGTGTTGTGAGTGTAGCTACAACCCATTTCTGAATCAAGAAATGACACTAGGTGCACTTACAGCTTGGATTGCGGAATGTGTGAGCGCGTAGAGGGACTTGCTTCGAGGAATCATAGGGGCAAAGTTCCTGCTATTACAATTCTTGCCATTATTTTTCGTTCTCCTACTATAATTACTAAGATTACCGGGCACAGCAAACTTTCTGGGGTCTCAGATGTCCCGCAATCTATTGAGGTTTGGGACTCTAAGGCATCTTGGATCCAGCTACTACCGGGTTGATGAACTTAAATTAAGTCACCACTATGCAGAAACCACATCATTAACCATGTATTCAGAACACGGTACCCAGCTCATATTACATAACATTGACATAGACAAAATCATCACCCTTCTGCCATACCTGCAGAACCAGAAGACCAGAAAGTCCAAGAAATTCTTAAGGACCCCCCCACCCCACCCCAAAGAGGCCACTCATTTTTTTTGAGAGCCTCAACTTTGGTGTATTGTAAGTCCCAGACGTTGGGTACCGATTCCACTAACAGTTGGATATTATCTCTGATATAGTTATATACAGCCCTTAACATGGCCCCTAATATAGACTGTTACAGGGTGGGGTCAGTACCAGCCCAGGGGGTAAAGCTGAACTGCCAGGTGCTGCTGGATTCCACGGAAGTTGGCAGCGCGCCGCTACAGCACGCAGCAGAAGTTGTACAGGAGCTTCATGCGGGCAATGTTGTCATGTAGCAGACGGAATAACTACCAAGACTAGAATCAGATGGGCATACTACCCCAATAATAGACATCCAAACGCAAAAAAGAACTTGAGGTGAAATGAAAGCTGGGTTACCGTAATGGCTCATAGAAGGGTTTATAGGGGATAATTAGCTATTTAAATGATGGTCCTAGAATCCTTGTATACTTCGAACTTAGGGTACCTCAAATAGACTTCAAAGTGCTTTTGTAATTCTATCGGCAGGTCCTGGGTCCCAAATACCCTTATTAAGGGCCATATTCCATGGTTGAGGGACCCAAGGGTACAAACCCTAAGGGTGCAAACCCTAAGCGTACAAAGGAAAACTCCCTGATCAAAAGCCACCTTGTGAGGATATCTACTGCTCAGCCGCAGCAGCAGCAGCAGCAGCGGGCTTCTTCCGAGCTCTGGTAGCCGCTGGCAGGAAGCTGCTAGCAACAGCCTCTATGCGTCTCTTTGCTATCCAGTGGGGCCCCAGCCTATCCTGTAAACCTAACAAGTGAAGCTTTCCTTACATATTTCACATCAGGGGACTACGCAGTTTGGTAAAATGTTAAGGCTGCTTTCAACAACGATGTCCTTCTACAACTTGTCAACGATGTTGTTTTTCCCGAGAAGGCCTGACCTTTGCGGATACCGCCAATACATAGGTGCTGGGTAATTCGGGTAATCACCTGCGCCCCGAATAGAACCCTAAACCTTCAACCCTCAACCCTAACTCTTAAACCCTTAAACCTAAGTCTTAAACCCTAAGCCCTAAGTCCCAAACCCAGGTCTCTGCGGAGTCCGCAGAACGAGGGTCTCGGTCGAACTCCCGAAGGCTGTTGGTGGGTCCGGCGTAACTATTCCTATCCCTTAGGCTTTACTTTTTGTTATTTCGTAGTACAACCCCGAGAGACTAAGAATATCAAGAATGATGTATTCTAAGCTTGAAGAGAGAGAACCAAGGTGTTTTACATGTGGCTTATGTACCAGCTCTAGACCACAGCTGCCGCATCTTTTCCCCGAACTAATGTGGAGCCGTATACGGGCCCTATTTAAAACGTCAGTAGCCTACAAGGGCCCTTCTTCAGTTTCCATGCTATTTTAGCGTTATTGCAGTAGTGTTCCAGTGTCGACCAAGGTAATGGAATGCACGAAGCTTTCTTCCAAGGCCTTGTTCAAGGACAGTGAGGCTAGGAACACAAGCTTTCCATGGGAAATGGCCAAGGAATACACGGAGCGGAGTTCAGTTGTGCTCAGCGTTCGTTTCGAAAATGTTTTCACAAGGGCGAGGAGCAAAGAGGCCAAAAATGTCTTCTCCTTGTGCGCGACCGCACGGACGAAGCGCAAGGAAGTCAGCCAACAAGGCGCGGCCATCCTCGGGCACAATTTCAGGCGCGGATATACTGCTGTGGGCGGGCTTCCCGGTTCGGCTTTCAGCCTGTTGTGCTTTTCCATCTTACTTAACGCAAGAGCTTATGCAGAGTGATTAAAAGACCGCCATGCTCAGAATGTTCACTGCACAACCGAGGTATGTGTATTACCCGAACATGTTCAGGAAGTCTTCTTGCTGTATTCACAGGCAGCTGGGCCGGTGGTGCACCTTTGCTGGGTGAGACGAAGACCTTGTTTTAGCTCTTATCCATGGGAGACGTTATGTATTGGGGGCCATATTCAAGCACAGTGGTGCTTGTAGGGAAGATAAAATAACCCCTAGATAAATCTATAAAATAGACTCCCCGTATTCCTCACTTCTAACCCGCGTAACTAGTATTAGGGCTTGGCGGTGCTTAATCGCAGTAGGAAGGGGTTAGTTTCTCTGTGTTCGACCCAACCCAGGGTGCCTCTGGGTTTAGGGTCTAAACCCTAAACCCTAAGGTCTAGTGGGCGGCAAGGCAACCTCTACTTGAAAGTTGTTAGCTGTTGGCGTTAAGGTTTGGGGTGGTCATTCCTCTTTACAGTAACTGTCCTTACCGGGTCTCATATTATTAAGGGGCCTATCCATTGTGGCAACTGTTACTGTAAAGGGGACTTACAGAAATCATGAGCCGTTAAAGTATACCACGATGATGGATGGAGTACTCAATATTACGGGGTGGGGGTTTGTGTTTTTTGAGGGAGTTGGTGATCAGTGTGCCTACAACCCAATTTTGAGGCCCCTAAATCCCCAAACAGGGTTACCATTCGGATACACCTACAGACACAATGAGCTTCCAGTTGCCCATTGTTAGCCTGAACCTCTAAATAGCTAAGGCAAAGGCCTCTGCAAATCCGGCGGTAAGCCAACCAACGCGGACTGCTGGGCTTCTTACCGGTCAAATGCATATAGTCCCCCTTGAGTAGATAGAATGTGGCTCTGTGTATGTTATAATAAGATCCCCATATACTTCATATTTTATCTACTTAAGGGGGACTATAACCTTTAGAGTTTCATTTGGATTTAGGATTCGATGGGCGACCTATAAGCTGTTGGGCTAAGATGAAACCAAATACACAACTTGAAAAACTTAATCTTGGATAGCCAGTACATACCGGACAGCTAAGGCTTACTCTTTCCGCTACCATCTCTCCGGAGGACATGGAGAGCATCGCAAGCAGATTGTCACTCGGCTGGCCTTTGTTTGGGCCGCTTAGGCGTCGGTTCCATGGGGCCTGACCAGAAATGATGTCGATGCTCGTTTGCTTCATGTTGAGAGTTGCCTGTGGATATTCCGTTGTTTCCAAGAGCTTTGAAGCTTACACTTACGAAACTGACCGTTCTGAGGCCCCTCAACCCTCCACCCGGAACATAACTTTTAAACCCTGAACAATCTCCACAAGCTTCTTTGCGCTTAAACATGAACACGGGTGCAAAGAGTCATGCCTTCAGCAATGAGCCAAATTCCCAAGCATCCCAGACCCCAAAGCTTACAGAGCCGCTTCTGAACCTTGAACAAACCGCCTGAAACCCTATAGTCTCCCTGAAGTAGATAGACTATGGGGTATATTATTGGGGCTACACAAGATAATGGAAACTACTATGTTATAATAGGGTTTATACTGGGGTTATAGCCCCCCCTTAAGTAGATATGTAGGGATCTTACTATAGTATGGGTCAATTCCCTGTTTGCTTCTGGACTTGTGCAGGCGCCAGAACATTGGCTCGAGCAAAACGGTCATGACCCCTAAGCCCTGAACAGTGTAACCTATAAAGCCAACTCTGCCCTTAGGGACCATCCGTGCTTCGGAAAAGAGGCCGACAACAACAACAAAAAGAAACACGTATTACATAAAGGGTTTAGGAGTTAAGATTTAGGGTTTAGGGCTTTAGGGTTCGGGGGGATGCAAGGGCCCTAAACCCTAAACCCCAACCTCTAAACCCTAAACCCTAAACCCTAAACCCTAACCCTAGCCTAGGTGATGCTCCAGGTGGTAGAGCCAGATGGCATCCTTGGACCAGGTCAAGAGGAAGAGGTGGCTATGGCAGAGGACTTGCAGGCGGAGGGATAGCTATGAAGGGTGGGTTTTGGGGTTTAGGGGTTTGGGGTTTAGGGTTTAGGGGTTTATTTTAGGGTTTAGGGGTTCGGGGTTAAACCCTTAAAAGGGGCATTATAGGGATCATATACGGGTATATAAGGTCCTTTAAAAGGGGTTCAGCTTCTCGAAGGATTCTCGGGAGGGTTCGGGGCGAACGCAGCTTTTTGCGCTACATACTCGAAGGGGACTTCCGTTCGGTTTTAGGACTCGGGCGATTTGCTGTTTAAGAAGGTACCATCAACAGTCAGTTAAGGCCGACGGTGGGTGCCATGGACACTAACGGTGGGCATAGCCCAGCTTTGGGAGTAGCACAGGATAACCCACACTACTCCTTTTTGGCAGGTCTTATGGTAAGCAACGTGCTCTGCCTTGGATTGACGAAAAGACAAGCTAGCACAGGTGCCCATCTACAGGATCATGGCTTTGCGTGATGAATCGGCTTGTTACGAGAACGAGAACGGCAACGATGACCTTTGGTACATTCAGTTTGTACCCTGAAGATGGCGTCCCCCTAATAATAAAGACTCCGCAGAGACTCCCCAATTCCAGAAATTCCTGGAAGACTGCCTTTAAAAGGGCCAAGACTAGTTTGTAAAGGGATCTCCGTAATCATGAGTTGGGGAGTGTTCTGAGGACATTAGGGGTTGCAACAACAAATCTACAGCAATCGGGGGTTCTTTGTTTTTCTGTGCGTGTTGGTCTCTTTTTTTAATAAAGGAACTTACATTACACCGTCATGCAATTTTATAGTTCGCTTTTCATCTAAGTTTAACTAGGTGTCATTCAGCTGACCTAAATATCGTTCTAATTAGATGTTAACTGACTTTACTACGACTCTGAACTGGTTTCTTTAATTTCTAACTGATTCTTCTTAGATTTTAAATGCATAGTAGTCAATTTCGACTAGATTTTTAATTGGATTTCAAATGATTTTCCTCAAATCTTCAAGAGGTTTAATGTGGGAGTGGGGGACGTTTACTTAAGAGCCTCCGGCTCAG